TAAATGTCACACCAAATTTCAATAAATTGTACACTCGAACCACAAGGGTGATGGTTGATTGTTTAAGTTGGCTCCAAAGGTCAAAAGTGTCCGAAGGTCGTAGGTTCAAGGAGGAATAAGAATCCATTTGTGGCCACGGAGGTTCAAATGTAGTAACTCCGGGCTACTCGCAAAGTATGTGGTCGCCCAAGGGATTAGTCGGCTCGCATAACGGGTTGGATATCCAGGTTAATAAAAAAACAAAAAAGAAAATTTGTACACTCGAAGGTATGTTATTTTTATTAGAATCGAACCGATCGGTTATAGTAACTAAATGGTTAATATTTTTAAATCCTAGGCCGAATTTCCTTGGGCTTAATAAAGGCCCATTATTTGCTTTCAATAAATGTTTTATGGGCTTGTATCTCTCTAATTAATGGTTAAAAGTTTAAAACTCGAAAAATGGAGAACGTCGACGTGTCAGGGACCATTTAACTATAAGAATATACAGATTTTTTTTTTCTTTTTCAAACGGTGATACCATTTGACTAAGAAATGGCACTAGCAGTATTCAAACTCGGGTCCATGGTGGAGTAAAAATCTTGCAAACCAACTCTACCAAATAAAACGTGTTCTCATTGTAGATTCAAAATACATACGGTGACACACTACAAATTAATAAGGTTACACCTTTTACGAACCTAAAAAAAATAAAATTTCGACTTAGGAGTAATACGGTGGCATGTGTTACCGTATGCACCACTATAGGTCCGCCCATGCAACGCGTTATGGTTGGATACTTTACAGGTCGGATTGACTAGAAGATTATCTTGTGCCACTAGAGATTGCAGTTCTAGGATAAGTAGAGTGTGCCAACAAGGAGGCAACAACACAAAACTACCCGTCATGCTGCCAAAGTTTACGTTAAACAGAAATCGAGATTTAGATTAACATTATCATTATATGTCCAGGTATTCATGAAAACAGCCAACTCTTTCAGAGTAGAAGTCAAATATGACGAGCTCGTTTCGTTTGGTTTTATCTTCTACCAACTACTTTATACCAGATTTCTTCCATCGCATTGCTTGCTTGCAGATAAAATACCAGTGCATTAAAATTTTGTACAATTCCATTACTAATGCTTTGTATGCTTGTACGGTACAACTATAACTGAGCTACTATAGCTTTGTTTCTTTTAGGAATGAATTATGATGACATTATGCTATGAATGTTGGTAGTTAATGTACAACTGTTTAATGCATAGGTAGTTAAGGTACAAGTAGTTAAAGCATAAGGGATGTTTAATTGGAGATGGAATTCAAGGAGTACATTTAGGTTGACAAGTAGTTAAATCTTTGACTTTTGAAGTCAAAGATGGTTCTTTTCAACTACTCAAGATTAAATCGATACAGTTTTATTTCCCTTTTAATCATCGAAATTGTTCTCGTACTTTTTATATAAAAATATAACTTTGAAAGTCAAAATTTCGCTTTAGTTGTACTTTAGGACTTCGTTCCGTTTTCGTTGTTATTTAGTTATTCGTAATCCTTTTTTCGATTAACCTGGATATTCAACTTGCTATGCGAGCCGACTAATTACAGAGCGACCACCTGCTTTGCGGGTAGCCCAGAGTCACCGCATCTGAACATTCGTGGCGACAAGGAGATTCTTACCTTTCCGTGGATTTGAACCTGAGACCTCCAGGGCCTTTTGATCTTTGGAACCCAAACTCAAACCAATCAGGCACCACCCTTGTTGTTAGTTATTTCTAATCTTAATATCCCTTTAATCTCAAATTAGAGTCGGTTTTTGACTTTTAAGTTCAAGAGGGACTTGTTTTCAACTTAAAAAAGTTATACGATTCGTCTTTGCCAAACATAAACAATAATAACCAAAGGGTCTTTGGCCTATCGGTTTCGTAGTCTTTGGCCTCCTAAGAGATCAGAGGTTCAAACCTCACCAAATGTGAGGAGAGTGTGTGAATTTATTTGTTGTATTTGCCATATATAAATATTATATACTTAAAAAAACATAAACAATAATAGCTTCGTTGAGGTTAAAGATCAAAATCCGAATTCTAATTATGGGACCAGGGGATTCAATAAAGTTAGGTTCGGTTTGTTTTGATCCTTGGCGTGTGCAAATTTTCGAGGTCGTATTCAACTTAATGAGAAAATTACGAAACTACCCTTTCGAGTTGAATATATGATGCAACAAAGCTTTTACCCTTTTTGAATTTATTGTACGGTAGCTAAAAATATATAAAAGGAAAAGTAAAAGGTCTGATTCAGCTTAGCAGTGAAATTACAATAATATCCCTAAGGCATTTATTATATATATAAAAATTAAAAATGTCTGAGCCCGGGTTCGAACCGGGGACCTCTAGTGTGTGAGACTAGCGTGATAACCGACTACACCACCCAGACACATGTTACCTTGCGTCAATTATATTTTATATTAATATATTGTTTATATGAATTTAAATAACATAGTTTGAATAAACTACAAGTTTGGTCCCTGTAGGTTGTAAAAGATAACAATTTTTGTCTCTGTAATTTAGAAATTACAATATTGGCATAGCGTTCTGCAAAAAACGTCCCAATTGGTCCCTTTAAAATCGATTTGTCGGTCCCAACCAAAAATCCTAGAATTGATCATAGGTCGGGTAACTAGTCCCGTTCCAAATCCAGTCCCGAGCTTGGTTTCTAATTTTTTTACACAAAAAATGTTAATAATGTTTATTTAATTACTATTTTTGAAATACAATATTAAATTTCACTTTAAATAATGCACTTCCATGAAAAAAGTTCATGAAAATTTCGAATTTTTTTAAAATCTTGTAAAAAAAATCTATAAAATATGTATGATAATTAGGGGGTGTTTGGGATTGCTTATTTGAAACAACTTATGATTTTCTACAAAAGCACTTATCATCTTATTATAAGTCAGAAGGGTTTAACTTTTTCAAAAAACTTCTTATTACCGGTTTGGCACCGGTATAAGCTGTTTATCCAAACTCCTTAGCACCGGTTTTGAATGTCTTGAACTCGAGCCGGACTTTGAAATTTCAAAATCTTTATAACCAGTTCTTGGATTAACCCGACCCGATTTCAACATCTCTAATCTATAGCATACATGGACTCACAAGAACCCCCCAACCATTGGGTTGGGCTGAAATTTCAATTTTACAAGCTTGGCCCAACCAAAGTTGTTATTTACATATGGGAACAAATATGAAGTTGATTTGTATAAGTAGGGGCGGAGTCAGGAAATTAATTTAGAGGAGGGGGGGCTAAAAGCGATATAAGAAAATGTACGGGTTTTATTAGAGATGCATAAAAGTCCGAATTAACCGAGTTCGGACTAAAAATGACTGTGATTGGTAAAAAGCCGAATCAGTTAAAGACGCCTGACACAAGGACCGGTTACAGCCTTACAGGGTAAGGCCCGATTTTGTCTTACAGAACCAATTCTTTTAGGGTAAGGCCCGATTTCTAGATTCGAGGTCGAAAAGACATTTTCAAAGTTATGTGTTTTAAATAAAAAAGAGTTACAAGAACCATATGCATGGATAAATAAAAATATTAAAATAAAAACTTTTGAAAATACATAAAAAATGTTGTAAAATTTAATTAATTAAATTCCTTTATCCAAATTAAAACCATAAAATAAACATAAATTTTGAGGGTGTGCATGGCACCCCCTGGTCCCTTAATGTCTATGCCATTGAGCGTAAGAGAACCAAAATGTCCGTAAGAACATAAGATCTTGATACTGGTTGTCTTAAATGACTGAAATAGTCGTTGCGGTGTCGGTTTGTTATAGAATACGTGGACATAGAGTCTTCCAACTCAAGAACAAAATCAAAGTTGAGTTTGTGAGAATACAAGATTGTAAGGGGCACGCTAAATATGTCTATGCGTTTAAAAAAATGTAAATTAGAGACCATAGATAAAGGTATTGTCAGGTTGAAAGAAATGCTGATTTAAAAAATCGTGATTCATAAAAGACTTATTGGCGTTGTAAAAATCAATTCAGAACAGAAGAAATGGTTTTACGTTTAAAAAAAAACTCAAAACTAAAAAAACTGTAAATGAAAGTGTTGACGCTTACCAAGTCTGATAAAAGTTATCGAACATGCACGAGATCCATCCCAAAAAATCTGGATTTCCTTAAAGACAAATAACTGGTTGGATATCCAGGTTAATTATTATTTTTTTGAATAATATTTACAGGAAAAACACATTGAACGATCATAAACAAAAGACACTTAATATTCACGAAATGAACACAACGAACCTTCAAAGGAAAAAAAAACCATATCAAACTTTCACAATTTTCACATGAAAACACACCAAAACATTTAGCGTTAGCGGGTTCTAGAGTGCCTGTCAAGGGCGTTAGCTCATACCCCGGGGTGATCATCACTCTGCACCTCACATCTCGGCACAGTGGAACGTGTACCTGCCTGATGTTCCATTACACTACATTTGTTCCTGTAATCCATAGCCTAACAGAACGCAACAATGTGGGACAACCCGCCCATATAGACGGGGAGGAGGATAACACTACTGGCAAAGACCGTCTGGCGAAAACGCCACAGGCGTGAAGCGTGGTATGTTGGGTCTGAATTTCAGTATTAAATTGTATTCGTGTTGAAAGATAATATTGTCTATAATTATAAAGTCATCGTGTTTGACTTTCCTTGTCTAATTTGACTTTGACTAGGAGGGTTATTGTTTGACCCTATATAAAGCTTTTGTCTTAGTGTATTTTGTAGTAGAAGCTTTCATTGTAATATACGTATACATTTTGAGAGATATAAAATGTTTGACCAGATTGACTTTCTCTCTCAATCTCCTTACGTGTTCTTGAGTGCTAAATCTAAATCTGCCATGGATTCTTAGAAGCTTATCTGAAGATTGATCATTTGTGGACTTACATGGTAGGCCTACGCAAGAGAAGCATAGGGAGGAAAGGGAGCCCGGATGGCGGAAGAGCCACGAGAGGCCGTCTTCATATGAAAAACATTGAACCTTCAATTACCAAATTAATTTATTACATCCTTCCAAATGAAATTTTTAAAAAAATGGAACCAAACGAACCCTTGTAGATTAAGACCGTTGGATCTAGATCAATCCTGATTTCTAAACGATCATATCCGTCTCGATACCGAACGTAGTTTTTCGTTAAACGAACCAGATATCGGAAACACCGATCCTTGCTCCCTTCTTTATCACGTAAAAATCAAAAGAATAGCATCATAAATCCCATAATACCGAAGTGAAAAATGCACCTTAGAATCTAAAAGCAACATTTTATTTTGTTTCTTGGATGAAGAATGTCACCGGGAAACTTTCCCATCGATCCTCCACCTCCGGCAGCCGTCAATGGCTGCCGTTGGCTGCCGCCAACGACTTCTTAGATTTCCGGTTTGTGTAAATCCTATTGTACAAAGCTTTGGTTCTGAAAGCCAACCATACATCCAAAGCGAACCCTATCGCACACGCGAAGGCCATGACTATAAAGACGAGGCGGTAACAGTGGGCTCCAATGCAGGTGTTTCCGCCACTGGCGCTGGTGGTGGCCTCGTGGTCGTACAAGAATCCGGCGAGCAGGCCGGAGAAGAGGAAGGAACCAAGCGGGAGGTTGAGGATGAGGATGTTGTAGATAAGGCCGTAGTATTTGAGACCGAAGAGTTCAGAGGCGGTTGGGACGGTGATGGCGAGACGGACACCGTAGCATATTCCGACGACTATCGAACCGATGTAGAGGGAGCCAGGCATGGCTATGGCCATTAGAACATAGCCCACAGCCATTAGAATCTGGGATGCTGCATTCCATAAAGGTCTAGGTGTCCCCGCCTTCCTGTAAAATAAACCGATCATCATTAAAATCGATATTTATTCCGATCAAGCTATAAACACAACATTAAAGAATAGTAAACGAGTTTTGTCAAAGCTTTTGCTCGTTTGCTATTTATTTCACGAGTCCGATGATCGTTTCTTTGCATTCCCTGCTACATTATGCAAAAAAGGTATGACATCATCCTCTAAAACCGCCATGTCATACCAGTCCCACAACCATCATGGGAAGATATAAGCTAAATACACCCCTATCTACTCATTTCTTCCCCCATACACACATCAATATCAAGACTTCCTTTTTACATTTTCAATGTATGATTTAATCTGATTCTGGTATAAACAGGGGTGCATATAGGCTATAGCAACACTTTTGAATTGTATATCCGAGGGTAGGTGGGGCCAATTGGGTCGGACCTGTATTCGAACCACAGTTATCCCAAATGACCCAGCATTCTGAAAAGATGCCCACTTTCTTTACACGAGACTCATGGTAAGATAATCATATCGTAGTGCAAGTATATCGGGGAGAATGACTTTTCAGTCATCTAAAACGAATAACACACCACCTAAAGTTGACTGATAAAAAGTCTAAAAAATCATTTTTTTCAAATGGTTTGAATGCTAGTAGGACCACCCCTGCCCCACCACTACCACCACCACCACCGCACATCCACAACCAAGAGTGGGAACGGAAAAAGTTAAAAGACAAAAACTCGCATCAATGATCTTTATTTTACGGGTCTCATCTTATAAGACAATACGTTAGGTGACGAAATTAACAAGATTAGTAAAAGATAAACATATGAAATCTTGGAAAGAAGGCAACACATACTTTTCTGGTATGAAAGAAAGGAGACTTGCAAGCCACCCAAAACAACTTGTGGAAATCTTCAAACATAGCTTTCCTTAATGGCAAAGAAAAGGGTTCAACATGGTTTCCACAAGGGCTAATGGGGTCTCGAAGGGTGGGATGCATACAAATCTGACATCTACCTTAAAATGTAAAACAATTGTTTTCAAGAATGTCCCGACTAGTGAGAATCGTGTGAAAGTGGAAAAAGAAAACATAGAACAGATAAACTCACACACCCTCCTCACATTTAGTGAGGTTTGAACTATCAACCTCCTAGGAGGTCAATGACTCACATACCGCTATGCCAAATGCCCCTTTGATAAGATCTGTTGTATGATAAATGGAGTCGACTATTTATGTACATCAACATTAAAAAAACCCATACTTTAAATGTCATGGATCAAGATCAGTCATATAAAGGTGGGATAGGACCACACCTTTTTGGAATGGTTATGGTGTGGTCCATCAACAAAAGTGAACCACATGAAGATTAAAATATCTACAGATCAACCCCACTTAGCATTTAATATACACAAGTTTTTTAGAAGTTATTTGGAAATTGCACAAAAATAGCCTCAATTATATATTAAATAAACCCTTTTTGAGTATAAATAAATAAACTATGATTCTTGATTCTAAGCCAATTTGAAGTGTTGTAATCAAGATTGATTAAAAGAAATGGGGTTTAGAAGTCAATCTTAAAAGAACCTACCCTACTTGGTACCATGGAAACCCAATTTCTATTCCAAATCTTTAAGAACAAAGATTAAAAATTTGGGAATGATTCATTATGTTAAGAATCATTTCTTATATTTTCAATGTATGATTTGATCTGATTCTCATAAAAGTGGGGTATATATAATAATACCCTTTTGGGGATTTGGTACACGTAGTGTCAATATCTGACGGAAGCTTTTATTAAAGCGATGGAACAGCAAACCGAAAACACATGTAATCAAGCTTTTAATATCAAAATTAGGCATAATATCTCACTATTCATCATCCAAACCAAGTGGGTGTTTGGGATTGCTTATTTAAAACAACTTATGCTTTTCTGTAAAAGTGTTTATCAATTTATATGGTGACAAACTTGAGTTTTATAAAAAGTGTTTGGATTAGCTTATGGCGGTATCACACTGGATAAGCTGATAAAATAGACGAGTTACCCTTTTCTATTCTCGTCCAAACACTAAAAACTTCTTATTACCAATATCACACCAGAATAAGTTATTAAGTTAGAAGTTAGTAACTTATTAAAAACTCCTTATTACAGGTGCCAAACCGGTATAAGCATTTCCTTTTTTTTCTCCATCCAAACACTAAAAACTCCTTATTATCGGTATCACAGCAAAATAAGTTAATAAGCACTTTAAATAAGCAATCTCAAACACCCTCAAACCTAACCAAACAAACCTATTATGTCCCCTCTGTAGATGGGGTTCAAGAAAAATTAAGATGTATACAGACCTGACATCTAATCCATATAAAATCGTTTGTTGTAAATTAAACATTTTTTGGTGAAAATTTTATGGGTATTGTGTGATAAATTAGATTTTGAATAATAGTTTTTAATTAAAAATCATTAATTAATAAGAAATTAGGATTTATAAAATAAAAATGGATGTGTTTGTGAGAGAAAAAAAGAGGATCAAGAAACTTACTTGATGAAATACTCCGAAACCGATCCGGATAGGATCCGACCGAAGAAGCCCCAAATGCTTGTTAACGAAACAAATATGGATACATCCGCATACCCGAGAGCCAGACCCATTTGACCCATATTATTCTGAACCGCCAGACCCGTACCCACTCCACAAAGAAACGATATGAACAAGATCCAAAAGTCCACCGTCTTTAATGCCTCAAACACCGTGTGTTCTTCTCCGATCACCGGCGGAATCTTTTCCACCGCCGTCGACGACTCTTCCTTTGACTCCTCCGCCACCGTCTCAATGGTTTGTTGTTGTTCTTCTTCTTCTTTTATAAGCAATGGTTCGGTTGTTGGGGTTGATTCGACGTCAAGGGTTTTGGGATTTGATCGGATTAGGTTTTGAACGGCGAGGTACACCGGAACTGCTAAAGGGGAAGCCAAGAGGATGAGTAGAATAATGGAGAACGCTTGTGATAGTTTAGTGCCATGGTCGCCGGTGATGTCGAAAGTCAGTAAGTAAACGGCAATGACAACGGCGAGGACGTTGAATATGTTGAAGTAACGAGTTTCGGATTTTTCTTCTGCGGCGGTGGAAGATGGTGGGATTTCACGGAGGAAGACGATGGCGAAGAGACAGACAACGAAGGGAACAACTGCTAACATAAGGAGAAAACGAGCTGGATCGTTGTTGAATAGAGCTGTACAGATATCGGTAAAAATGGCGGTACTCAAACCCACATACCCTTTTAGGATTCCGGCCACCGGACCTCTGTTCTTCCGGAAATTCCGAATGCATGTTACTAAAATTGCAGTGTTCATCCATGTCGTACTGTTTCCTCCCATACACAGAAATATACACATCTGTACAATTAGAAAACACCATTAAACCAAATGCACAACAACTGTTTGACGAAACGCGTGAATCAAAAAGTACCTGCCAGTAAGGAAGAGGTTGGATTCTCTGGCTAACGACGAGCCATTGAACGCCATAACCGATGAAACCTTCAATGGAACCTATAAGGAGAAGAGCAGCAGGGGAGATTCGATCGGAAGCGAGACCGGCGAGGATTCCAAAAGCTTTTCCGACATCTTTAGCGACGGAGAGATTATTGAGTTGGAGCTGAGTGAGTGCCATTAGAGATTTAAGAGCATCGGAATAGTTTGAAAAGGTATAGTTATTGCCGGAAATAGCTTGAACCCAGACGGCGGTGACGAACCCCATCCATTTTCCGGCGGGGGACGTCGGAGATAACAGGAAACCCATTTGGGTTTTTGAGAATCTTGTTCAAAATGGGAGGAAATTTGTCGGAAAGATGGTGAATTGATTGGGGGATCTTGAAATTGTACGGCAAATTCGCGATGGTGGATCAAGAATTTATATGAAGTGGTTGGAGATTACTTTGAATAACTACTTTGTATTTTAACCAACAGAAAAGAAAACCAGTCGTCGGCCATTTTAATGTGGACTGCAACTTGCAGTTTAAAATTCAACAAAAAGTCGAAGATGACGAAATTAATTTTTTTAGGGGTTGTTTGACGGTTGCGGAATAGACATAATGATTAAGTCGTCAGAATGATTATAAGATACTCTTATGATATAATGTCAAATGAAATATACGTGTTTGACTAGTTGTGTACCCGTGCAATGCGGCGGGAGCCGTGAATTTTAACGATTTTSAAGTTTCACTGGTTTTATTAGAGAAGATTTAACGATGATATAAGTTACATTTGGTCTTTACATATTAATACAATTTGAATAAATAAAAGTTATGATTCCAATTACAGTCTATCGTGAAAAAAATTGTATGACAGTTTAAAATCTAATATATTTAAAATCTAATATATTTAAAATCCAACATATTTAAACGAGACTCTAATGTGTTCGATTTACACCAAGAACAAAGAATCAAGAAATCGAGAGCGAGACCGAGAGTTCTAGAGCAATTGAATGGAAGATGAATGAGAGAATTTTTAATAACTCATGGTGAATATAAGTTTGAATCTCACATTGAAGGTGGAGATAAGACATAGAGGTATGAGAGGATGAATGCATGAATGAAATATGTCAAAAGTATCTTGGGAACATGAAAAGAAAAAGTAACAATGTGCGTTGCTAACTTATACTATATGTTATTTTAATTGTGTATTAAGATATTTTAATACTTAATGCATTATGAGTTATTTTGAAGACTTTTAAGACTTTATGCATTAAAAGTTGTTTTTAAAACTTTTGATAAATCTAGTTTATAAGATAGTATATATAATTATTCAGAATGAAATACGGCATTGAATGATTCAAAATCTGCCTCTTAATAAAACTATTAAGAAGTAAACAAATAACCCTTAGACTTATTGTCTATCTGATATTTAATAAGACATAGATCTATTTATAAACATTTATTAGGAATCTGTTCAAAGTCCACATGCACACCTTAGAGAAAAATATATAATTAAAAATACAAATCTGAAATAAATTAAAAAAAATAAATATTAAATCCGACAAATTAAAAATATAAATATTAAAAAAATTGGTGAAAAAAAGCCGGTTTTTGATATCTTCCAGAACACCCCACCGGATCAGTCTTATGACAACGACGATTATGATGAATGCAAACCGTGAGTTTTTTTATTTTAATATATAAATATATGAAACATTAACATGATGATTAAATACGTTTTTAAAATTATAAAACAAATTACAAATACATCTATATTTTATATCTATACTATATTATAAAGCATTTGATAAAACTCTTACCAACCATTTTTTATGTATGAAGTATTATTTATGAATGCATGTTACTTAAAATTTAAGATTACAAGTAAATTATGCGTAAGTACAACTTTTTAAAGTTTCGTGTTTGAATTCGTGTAACTAACTGCAGATAATTATAATCAAATAGAGAATAAACATTTCATTTTAAATATAAAAAAGCTAAAATATAATTATTATAATCATTAATAACTAACAAAACTACTTAATTATAATCTTTATAAAAAATTATATTGTTAAACAAAAAATAAAATAAAATGAATTAGAGAAATACAAAAAAAAAATTAAATAGTTAGTTTGGTACTAATATCAACATTTTTTTCCAATTTTTTATGATAATCTTCATATTTTTATTTTATTCAAAAATAAAAATATTATCGTTTTCTTAAAAATCAAAACCACATAAAACTGTATTATAACATCTAACGAGACAAAAGAAAAAAGAAACATTAAAATCGAGATGTATTTTGCTGCATTGTACGAGTAACTTTATAGTATTATAAAGCATTTGACAAAAACTTTTAAAAACTTTCTTCATGTTTATATTTTATTCAAAAAATAAAAACATTATCATTTTTTCAAAACCATATAAAACATTTGTTTTGTAATAATCAATTAATAAAAAATGTAATTTAATTATTTTAATATTTTCTATAAATTATTTAAAAATAATGAAATTCAATTTTATTCCAAATCCTACAAACCAAATACACCAATGATTTCAAATTCATTCCAATCTAAATCACTCCAAATTCAAATCTCTCTATGAAATCCAAATTTTTCAAAAATAATCCTACAAACCAAACGGACCCTCAAAGACAACATATTAAATAACAACTACAGTTTATTAATTCAAATATTTTCGGTGTCACAAGTTATTATACCATAAACACGTATTTTATTTTCTTTAATTTGATTCATGCATCGAATTATTTTTATTTTTTTTTTCCATTTTTTAAACAACTTTTCGAATTTTCGATCATGGTTATAGTTCAATGTATATATATATTCATATTAATATCGTTACTGCATTATTAAACATGGGTTGGGTTCCGGTGAGAAAGAAAGTTATGTTGACAAACATAAAAAGAAAGATTTATTAATACCGTATAATACTGATATTGTTTTAATTACAGATAAATGAAAAATCAGCCATCAATTGATGTGGATACCGAATATTTAATTGTTAGCCCACATTTTCAAAATATTAAAGTACACACAGAAAAATCATGTCCAATGGTTTTAACATTTTCTATTGTCTACAAAACTTTATGTCATATTATGAACAATTAATATATAAACTATCAAAATGTCAACATTTAGTTCTTGACTTATAATTCTCCTATAAAAATAATTTAATAGCATTTGGGTAAAATACTGATTACTAATAATCCCAACCGTTTTTATACAGAATCCGCTTTCAAAGATACCAATGTGGGAGGACATTTTTTGCTTCACTCAGCGGTTGAGGCTAGCAGAGGGGCCCATGATCGAACCCGAGACATGTTTTGTATTTGGACAAAGTCACGCTGCTTCTTTACCAACTGAGATAGATACCAGAGGCTTAAGAAAGCATATATATTCGTTAAGCACTATTATTTTTTTTAATTTTAATATCGAAAAATATACTATAGTTAATTGTATATATAATTAAAAAAATTAACTGTGTTTTATCTGTCTACGACTTGACAATCAGTTACTAACGACAAGCTATAAGGCATTGCAACGTTTCGAAATTGTTATAATATGAATGTTTGTATGTGAACGAAAATGAAAAACTGTTTATCCAAGATTACCACATGTTTATAGACGTTGATGATCACCAAAGGTTGTAAAGACGAGTAGTACGTAGTGACATAGATGATTAGTGGATTCGACAAATTGGCGTATTAAAAGTCTTGTCGGTTTGGTAGCAGTTTGCTATTTTTAGCTAATCGAACACGTGTTTTGACGACTATATTTGGAAGTTGTCTTCAGAAAGTTTACGTACATCTGTTTATCTCTCGAGCCACGTATCTTGTATTGATATTTCCCTGCTTTGACTAACTCCATACGTTGTGGATATGTTCAAAATCATGGGCTTGGTATGCTAGCTCGGTTATCCAGCCCTGATGAAACTTGTTTTAATTCACTTGAACTTGTTGAATATGTCTGTTATTCTCACTGATGTATAACCACCAACTGTTTTAGGATGTTTTCGATCCTTTCAGTAGACGACAATCTTGGAAATTCACAGACTCATAATGGGGAGGAGTTTTTCCCTCTAACAACCAGAATTCCAAAATATATGCAATACATGAATCATTGCCTAAATATGTTTCTGTCTTTCAGTTCCAGCGATCATCACTGAGTCTATTCAGTGATCGCTGAAGAACTTGTAATGTAAATCCATTAGCGACAGCGTCGATCAAAATATAGATGTGGAATAAAATATAACTTACAAATATCGGATTCCAAATAGTCAAAATACGACTTAACCATCTAAGGATTTTTACGAAACTGGAATCAAAACCTGAACTGTACTTTTGAACCAAACGTGAATCATACAGTTTTTCCTTGCATGAAATTGTTGTAATGTTTGACAGAAGAGTATTAAACCTAAAGGCTTAATGAGTTTCGCGGTTTTCACTCAACATTGACATCAGCAAACAAATAACATAATTTCGCTGCAACATTTGCAAATCAGTATGCCATAGAACATGTTTATAGTCCTATTTACGACCCCTTCTCTTATTATTATGTAAAATATTACATATTAACATCTAAATAATAACGATTTTAGATTATAAACCTAATTAGGAAATATGAATTACCTAATTATATATTTTGATATATTATCCAATTTGTATGATAATACTCTGCATTTATAACCAAATGGCTTTCGGCCTAGTGGTATGCGAGTCTTAGATCTCTTAGGAGGTCAGGGGTTCAAACCTCACCAAATGTGAGAAAAGTGTATGAGTTTATTTGTTTTATTTACCGTATATAAATATTATATATTTAAAAAAAATACTCTCCATTTATAAAATAATAAGCACGAGATCTTATCATTTTTAATATTCAACAGAATCAAACTTTTTAAAATGAAAAAAAAAATATAAAATAAATAATTTAAAAATTAAATATTCCCCGTGCTTGTCGAATTAATGTCCAATTGAATTATTGAATATGCTTTTGGGATCCCATTTTTTGTTGTTTTTGGGAATTTTCTTACATAATTAAAATTATATATTCAATATAATTGGTTTTAGGTGGAATATAAATTGCAGAATATTCAAACAGACGAATATTGGCCTTTAAAAAGTCAGAGGTTCAAATTTCACCATAAGTGAGGAGGGTGTGTGAGTTTACTTGTTCTATTTGCACTAAAAAATCGGAATCTTAAGTCAGTTGTTTTACAAGCTGTTATATTTAGGCAAAAGTTGATTTACCGGTAATCCAACCAGCCTCACATGAAACCCGTCTTGAATGACACTAATGTAAGGGGACATCTTTTGGTTTATTCAACAGCTAAGCCTAGCGGAGCCACTGAGATCGAACCCAGGACCTATCCTATATTTAGGTAAAACTATCTCACCTTTTTGTCAACTGAACTACATGTCAGAGGCATTTTATAGGCTCCTATATACCTGATTTGTCTTTTAGAACGGAGAGAT